AGTGTACTACAGTGAGCATAGTATACGTTTGTTTATGTTCTTGTTTCCTCCACTGGCAATAGTTGCTGTCAATCCATGAATTCTGTTCTACAAATGAAATAGAAAATTGCTTTAGTATTACACAGTCTCAGCTGGATGTTAAACCAACAGCCTGGTGATTTTAAACTCAAGCTTAGATTACTCTTGCATTACGCTTCTTTGAGCTGGATAGGAAATAGGATACTCTCCACAAAAGATGTTATACTTAGGAGAAAAGTGAAAAAAAAGTAACAGCCACTTGTGCGATTTTGTGTGTGTGTTAAGTTTTGTTTTGTTCTGAGAAGGGGTGAGTTTTCTAAAAGTAAAAAAGAAAGAATATGGAGTCTTATCATCTATCTGCTATGATAGTAGGTCAATGACCTAGCTACCAAGAAAATTCAAGGGAATATGTAGGAGGAAACAGATAAGGTGTAGTTGCTAGGAATATCAGAAGCAAAGGGAACACCACAGAAACTTAGTCATATTGCCCCTTTTATAGGAAATGCATAGTATCTGTTTCTAGAACTTCCATTATGCATTGGAGACCACTGTCCACCAAAGTCAATCCTCCCCTTCTTTCTTTGTAATTGGGCTCACTGCAGCTCAGATTTCATTTCACAGCCTACAGGGCACAAGAGGTGGCCATGTGACTGAATTCTCAGGAGAGAAATAACATGGGAAGTGATGGATTCCACTTCCTGGCCTGGAGCTGAAGGCAGATGTACACCCTTCTGCTGCCTTGACCTTCCCCCAGGCTGAAATACAGACATTCCTATGACCAGCATGAATCCTGCCACTGACAATAACACACTAGGGGAAGGAAAAACAAGATAAAACAAATCTGTGCTCCTGAATAGCCACATTGGAGCAAACTAACCTAAAGTAAGAGAAAAATTAAGTTCTATTTATTCCAACAATTCCAATGCTTTTGAGCTTCTTTGTAACTGTAACTTAGCTTTCACCCTAATATACATTATAACATTTTTAAACTAAGGTCTTAGAACAAAAGAGCCCTAGGATGATAACTGTTTTCTCCATTTAATATAAACCTTCTCAGATTTCTAGAAGTGTTCTGTTTTAAAGGAATTAATACAATGATTGTTTCCTGAGAGTTCGCAGAAAACAGATCCACAAATTAAGAGAAGGAACATTATAATATGTTCAAAAATACCCTAAATTTATCGAAATTGGAATGTTCCTTGAAAAATCATCAACAAACTTGCACTAATCACCAATGTATTCAGCCACTGTAGCCATAGGTGGAAGTATAGATACTAGTATATGTCCTATCCCAAAAAGCATATGTTGAAGTCTCCCAGTACCTCTGCATGTGGCTATATTTGTAGATAGAGGTTCTTCAAGGAGGTAATAAAGATGAAATTCAGGTGGGCTTCAATTCAATATAGGTGTCCCTATATGAGGAGATTAAGACATAGACACACACACAGAGAAGATCGTGTGAAGACACAAGGAGAAGACAGCCATATTCAAGCGAAGGAGAGAGGCTTCAGGAGACATCAACCCTCCTGGAACCTTTATCTTGATTTCCAACCTCCAGAACTGTGAGACAATAAATTTCTGTAATTTAAGCCCCCCAGGCTTGTGGAACTTGGTTACAGGAACCCTAGAACTAATACAGGTATGTCACTGTCAAGCATTTTTCTTTTGAGCCAGAACCAAGGAGAAATTTGTTGGGTTGCTTCTCTAAGAAAACAAACAGAAGAAATGAGCTCTATATCATTTTTCAGTAGTTCAAATCTTTGTTTTTTGTGACTAACAAAGAGGACTTATTCATGCTTTGATTATATCTGAACATCCAAAATAATTCTATATCCTCCTGCAAATAAATTTGGATCCAGCCTTATGATATATTCAAAAGTGTGCTCCTGATAGATCAAAGATATAAACACAAAAAGTAAAAAGCTAATAAAATAAAATATTGAAGCTAAATCCTCAAATCACAATGTCAACGTTGATGGGTTTAACTTCATCAAATGAAGAATTGTGGTGCAATGAAGGATTCCCTAGAAAAAGTTAACAGACTAGAGAAGATAATCTGTAACAGCTAAATTCAAATATCTAGAATATCCCTCCATACCAAAAAACAAAACAAAACAAAAAACATGGCAAATCAGCAAGAAAATAATCCAATAGCCAACAGAAAAATGGATAAAGGGTAAATCTCAGGAAAATCTTAGGGAAAGGACAGATGTCTAACAAGTACATGAAGAACAGTTCAACACTGCTAACGACAAAAATACTTAAAAGTTTAACCATCAACAATATTTTTCATTAGAATTTCAAGAATTAGAACACTAGATAATATTATCAAGGGTTGGAGAGGATGTGGGAATGACAGAAACTATTAAATACCATTTTAGGGAATATAAACTCGTCCAGTAATTCCAGAAAATAATCTTACCAGTACTGAAAAATTAAGTGTGAGGATTTTCTGTGATCCAGCAACCCACTTCCAGGTACAATAGTCACCCTTTATCCTAGGAAGATATGGTTCCAGACTCAGTGGTTGCCTGAAACTGTGGATAATACCATCCCCTATACATACTGTGCTTTTCTCTTTATGTGCATACATACGATAAAGTTTGATTTATAAATTAGACACAGTGATTAACAATTATAATAGAATTTTACTTTAATTATAACAATATACTGTAATAAAAGTTAATGTGAATGTGGTCTCTCTGTCTCCCTCTCTGTCTTTAACTAAATATCTTATTGTACTGTACTCACCCTTCCTCTTGTGATGACATGAGATAATAAAATGCCAGTGTGCACGATAAACTGAGGTGAATGACATAGATATTGTAATGTAGAGTTAGGCTGCTATTGATGTTCAGCTGATTCGCCAGGAGACTCGGCTTCCAGACCAAGTCGACCTTGCATAATTGAAACTGCGGAAAATGAAACGGAGGCTTACGGGGGACTACTGTACATATCTCACAAATGCTCACATCCAGATCCTTAGAAGAACATGTACCTGAATATACATTTATCTAAAACAACCAACTGTGCATAGAGCAACACATCTAAAACATAGGTTGCTGAGTATTTATAGCACTATTTCACTTATTAAAAACATGTACCTGCACAACGAATGACATATTTTCCAAAGGATACTTAAATCAAACGTATGGTACTTGCCTTCTGAAGGAAAGGAATGGATGGGAGGTGGGAATTAAGGGAAAAATTTTTTCTCAGTTCCTCCTGAATTCCTTTCAGCACATTATTCTAACAAGCCATATGTGTAATGAGGACACTGGAGTAAAACAGTCTGATCTTATTAAACAGTTTTTGGTTACACTGTTTCAGTGATTCTCAACCTGGGGAAATTTGTTCCCCCCTCGTCCTGGGGACCTGGGGACATTTGACACTTGGCAATGTCTGGAAACACTTTTGGTTGTCACCACTTGGGAGGCTGGGTGCTACTGGCGGTTAGTGAGCAGGGGCCAGGGATGTTGCTACACACACTCCACTGAACAGGACAACATCCCACCACCACAAAGAAGCATCTCTTCCAAAATGTCTACAGTGCTGAGACTGAGGACTCCTACACTATCTCACTACATTGTCCTTTTACTTCTTTGGTCTTTGGGAGGCTGCCCTCTTAAAGCTGACCAGATACTCCTTTATTCTTTCCCATCTTTCCCTTCCACTCTTCCTTCATTTTTGCTCAGGCAGGAGCTACTGTCTTGGGATGTCTCGTTTCCTCTAGCAGTCATGAGTCTGCTTAAATAGCACACCGATTTTAATTATTCATATGACTGTGAGTAGGATAAACTGATAGCATTCCCTTAATAATGAAAGAAAAATAATTGTTAAAATGCCTCTCACTGCTCTTGCTTTTCTCTTTCGAGCTGCTCTTCCACACACCCAGTCTTTAACTGGATACCCTAAAATAGGAAGGGTATTCAATATAAGATTCACTGAGGGTCTTTTCTAAATCTTCATGAATGGGGCAGCAAAGGAGATAACAAATGTCCTAGGAGGGCAACAGTCAAAAAGAGCACACTGAGCCAGAAGGGGGTCAGAGGTAGACTTTGGGAGGGCGGCTACAGAGGCACAAGCTTGGACCAAGGTGGAGGTGGGTGGAGATTGAGTTTAATTAATTGGAAGCTTAGGGCTAGGGGTCCTTCATTGAAACAAGGAAAAACTCTTTCTGACTTTAACCGAACTCCAAAATTCTCTGAGCAAGGGAATGGGCCTAGTGTACCACGTGGGGTGTACATTTTAAAGAACGGAAAATTTTTCAGATAATGGAAACTGTTAAACACTGAAATTGAATATTGTGGATGTCCTGCTCTGTTGGACTTCGTTACTTTTTCTTTTTTTTTATGGATTCAGGCATACAGTATTACAGTCCAATTTAGGCTAAGGAGCAGATTAAAGTTCTTAAGAGCTATGATTTGTGTTTGCATGTATTTTCCCCAAAATTTTATCAATTGCATTTGATACTTTGTCCCTTAGGCACTCACCTCTCGCATAGGCTTTAAAGTTAGATTATCATTCATTATCTCCTAAGGATATCTTTCCCCTGTTCTTCAGGCTAGCCTGCTTTTTGTCGTTGCTAACGGTGGTAGTGGTGGTTTATTTCTCTTTGTTTTTTTAAGAAATGAGTAAAATGTTGGAAGGTCTCTGCAGAGACATCATCCTTTCGAATTTTATTCAGTTCAGTTATATGAATACTGTCAGATCTCTAAGCAGTCGTTTTTCTTTTTCAGATAAAAAGTTTCTAATTCTTATAAATCATCTGCACTTGGATCAGTTCTTTTTAACTAAAAGAATTAAAAGAGAAAACAGGTAGGAAATATTGGGCACATTCATTTTCTTCTAAGATACACCCCCACTCCAGCTACACAGGAATTAAATCTCGCTCCGGTCTCTTTAACACAGGGAAAAGGAGGCGGGCTTCCAGAATGGCGAAGGTTCTGATTGGTGAAGCTGGCAGGAAGTAAGCTGCGAGGGCGTCGCTTCTCTGACGGTCCCAGCCTGCGGGGTGAGAGGCCGGGACCCGCTGGGCTTCAGTTACCTAGGCCCGCTGTTGCTTCAAATCGTGGGAGTGGGAGCGTGGGGTGCAAAACGGAGCCCTTTCATCGCGGTGGGTTTGGGGCGCTGGCAGCCCTTTCGCGGAGGTGCCGCGCCCTAGCGGCCGGGCCGGCGTGGGCCCGGGGTCCACTCGGACCGTCGAGACTGCGCAGTGGCCCAGGAGCTGAAAGGGTGTTTCCCCGGCGCGGGGCGCCGCCCTCGCTACGCAGCCGAGTCCCCCATCTCAACCTAGATTCTCTTTTTCCCCTGTTCTGCAGGCTCGCTTCCGGCGTCATGGCTCAAAGGGCCTTTCCGAATCCTTATGCCGATTATAACAAATCCCTGGCCGAAGCCTACTTTGATTCTGCAGGGAGGGTGAGTTCGGGATATATTTGCCTGCATCCTTACCCCCATCGTAAAGCAGCTTAGTTTTGCCTGAAAAGGATAAGCATCCCCTTTTAAAAAATAAATAATTTGAGGATAAATATAGAGAATATATTTTAGATATGTAAAATACATGTTAAAACATACAGTTAAGTTCTAATATGTTAAATTTCTATACGGAGTCATTGTTAATTGAAATAACCTCTGTCATTAAATTATAAAAATTGGCAGGTCTGCAATTTACCGTGTAATTTTGCATTTTCAATTTTGGCTTACTTTTCAAAGAGAGGTGAGGAGTCCTGAAGGTATTTCACGTGTGCTGTGTTATTACTTCATGTTTACAGACAAGTATGGGCAGGATCATGGTGAGACAAACCTGGAATGTGTGGCAAGACATCTTTAAGTGAAAATGCTAGGAGAAATTCAGAACATAGGTCTGCAATTCTTTTTACCGTTGCCACTCTTCTCAGGACATCCCCACAGCTGGAAAAACTAGTAAATTAAACTGGCTAGCATCTCACAAGGCAGGATACAAAAGAGAAACTGGATGTGAGATCCCAGAGGTCTGTGTTTTCTCCTGCCTCTTTTAAGGACCTAATTGTTAAGGGGAGCACAGTTCTTCCTAAGAATACCTAGTGGAGAAATCGTGAGTTAGGCTGGAAGGGTGATCTCTAAGTTCACACATTTTTTTTTAATTTTACCAGTTTATTTCTTGTAAACTTGTCACTCATACGAAAAGCATTTCACATGTAATACAATGGCCTTAAAGATTTCATATCTGCCAAGTTATCTTTATGCGGCTCTGTTGGTTCTCAAAACACTTGTCATTATAGACTGACTTGAGTCAGTAATGCAGGTAAGAGGGATGAAAGAGATGGAGAATTATAGGATAGAAGAGTACAGAAGTGTTTACGGAGCTAAAGTCTGTGATTCTTTTAAGACCAAAATTGAATTGCCCACACAAAGCTTCTTACAGTTTTCTTGATGTCATAGGCTTCCTTTTGTCCGTCTGGACCTGCATTCTGCCTAGCTCTGCACATGCTGAAGCTGGAATATTTGTCCTGTCATGTTGGAGGAAGACATGCTGCTTCATGTTAACTTGGAAAATTGAACACTTGAGGATGTATCAAATGACAGACGCCTTCAATAAACGTAGCTTACTATTTAAGCTGTTTATAAATTAAAAGCATTTACAGAACTTCAACTCCTTTTCTAAAGGAGAAAAAACGTACTCGTATATTTAAACTGTGGTCCAAAAATAATCATGTAATTTATTGCATAACACATGGTTTTTGGACAGATTCCAGAAAGAAACTTGCATACCAGTTCTAAAACTGTTTAATGTTGAACACCAAGGTTCAGACCCTGGAGATCTGTCCTCAATTTGTTAACACAAACATTTCAATAAGGAACTGGTCTGTTTTCTGGCAGAAAAAAAGGGCTTTTAGAGACTTCAGATTGCTGGAGTTTGAATAATTTTGTGGTCTGCCAGAAGCAATCAATATTCTCAGGTAGGCCACAAGCAATCAATATTCTCAGGCAGGTCACCTTTATTAAATGCAGTTCTGTGCCAAATAGAAAGTAACTTCCCTTCCTAAGGCTGAGGCATTCTCATTATTCTTGGTCTCTTAAAGTAAGGCCAGGCAAGATGATAAATTATGCATGATCTATGAACAGAAGATGACATGTTCTCATGTAGATGCACTCTTCTTTCAAGATTTATAGACCTTTTATATTAATATTGAAGTATATTTTATCTTACTAAATGTATTTTCAAGACTTGTTGAAATCTTAACCTCTTGGTAGAAATCATTAAATAATGGGTCCATCAATGTGATTTCTTCAGAGTGTGAAATAAAGGATCATTGTGGTGCTTCAGAATAAATAATCCATCTGACTTTCCTTACCAAAGCTGCTCTTCAGAAGTAAAACTTAGTATCTCTTAAAATAATTCCGATACTGCCTTGTTACTTTTTTCAGTGTTAAGATTCCCTTTTTGAAAAATGAGATGGTGATGCTAACAGGTAGTAGTTAAGTTTGTTTTTACAATCCTTACATGCTGAAATAAAATGTTTGTACCTCTTGTAACATTCCCCAACATTGTTTTGAAATTTTACTGCCTTATGAAATCCAAGTCTGGCAATCACAGCAGATTGCTAAAATTACTGAAGAATACATTAAAATGACGTCTTAAGATATTTCATGTTTCAGTGTATACAGAACTTTCAGAATATTTCTCATTTGCCATTATGATCTATGAACAGATCTATGAACAGAAGATGACATGTTCTCATATAGATGCACTCTTCTATCAAGATTTATAGACCTGGTATAATCATGGCATAATGATTACATGAGCCCCGCAGTTTGACCAGCATCTCTGGGCCTTCATATGGATATTCCTAACCCCATAGCCCCAGGTTTAGTGTGCTTTCAATTCATATCCAAATTTTACTTGTGATAGATCCTTGGATTGCTTAAAATTGCAAAAATGTCAACATCTACATCCCTGAATGCAGAAGCCTAAGACACGTGGTCTCGTTTGATCCTCACAAAGTACCTAATGAAATTGATGGGGTGGGTGTTATTATCCTGACTTTACAGAGATAAGTGAAGCATAAAGAAGCCATGAGTTGAGCATGATCACTCAGCTACTAGCAGATATGGATGTAGTCAGGCTCATTTGTGGAGCAGTATTTATGAAGCCCTTACTCTGCCAGTCACTGTGCCAGGCATGTCGTTTTAATACTAGGTCTGATATTCTTTGCACTTTGCTCGAGACTCCTGATATCTGTGAATTTATTTTGTTTTTCTTAGGCTGCTTCTTCAGTTTTTAAAAAATAGTTAACTATTTGTTAAAAATGGATTTTTATAAATATCATTTTTAAATATCTAAAACAACTAGAGTATTTCTTTAGGAAATTAACATTGCTCTTTGCTTGAATATTCAAAGTCCAGTGGCTTGAGGGCAACAAACATCTGATGTGTGCTTGACTTAATAAAATGACTTCTATTATAAAGTTATTGATTCAAATAATAAATGATCCCCATTAGGTGGAAATTACTGTGAGCCAGTTTACCATTGGTGGTCTATTTCAGTATTTAAAAATTTTGTGTAAAATATTGAAGTTACAGCAAAAATATTCCCTGCCTTGAGTAGGAAAACATAGTAGTACTTCTATGTTTTGTCAATTTTTTGTTGTTGTTTTGGAATAAAATAGTTGTCCAGTTCTCCCAGGCAGAAAAAACGTGGCCCCAGTGGAAATGAGGCAGCATCCTATTTTTGATAGCCTGTAGTTCAGGAAGTCAGGGGGCCCAAGTTTTTTGATATTTATTTTTCCTTTAATATCTACAGCTGACTCCAGAGTTCTCACAGCGCTTGAACAATAAGATTCGAGAGCTTCTTCAGCAAATGGAGAGAGGTCTAAAGTCGGCAGACCCACGGGATAGCACTGCTTACACTGGCTGGGCAGGTATGAAACGCTGGCTGGGAGCTGGCAGGAGCATTTGGAGACCCAAAGCATCCTCTTTTGAGGGCTGCCAGACAGAAGGTATACCAACAATTACTTCCAGGAGAATGCCATGCCCTCAGCCTGGCCTTGGTATCTTTTGGATTTTTACCAGTGCTTTGAATTTCAGGCAAGGTAAACATATCATGGAATTCATGCCTGACACAAATTTGGATGGCTGCTGTACTTGAGGAGAAATACTCATGTTCAGCTTCCATAGTTCATTTGCAGATGGCATTTCAGTGGGAAAAGATGAGAGTCCCAAAATAAAGTGCATAAAACAGAGGTAAGGAGACTATCTACAGGAAATCAATTTGTCCAGATGCGTCAATTTTTTAAAAGTTACCCCACCTCAGGGATCCACACGGGAACACAGGGTAGGCTTAGTTCCGTGACCTAAACCTTCCAGACAGTCGTTGCTGGTTGCCTCGCACTTGTGATTTTGTCGGTCAGTCAGAGGTTGGAAGAAACAGTACTTGGTTGTCAGAAAGGGTGAGAAAGACAAAGCCAAGAAGGAAAGCTGAAGCACCATATAGAGAGACAAAGACAGGCTTACAGTCTTGAAGAAAGTAGTTTAGAGACTCAGTGTTTCCCAGTTACTCAGAAAAGTAGACGAGGAGGACCAAGTTTTCAGCTCAAGGAAGTGGAATTTGATTTGAAGGCAGTGTTGTTGACATAAGAATGTAGGTTCCTGGGCCTCACAGCAAGGATTCTGGTTCAGTAGGTCCTACGCTGCACTCAGGAATCTGAATTCTACAGGCATCTGTGTCCTGACGCAGATGGGCCTCTGGGGACTCCACTTTGAGGTGTTTATGACAGGAATTTCCAATAACTATCTCTTAGCAATCAGCTTCTGATGGACAAGTGATTCTGTCTTCCTTATGAGGACAGGAAGGCAGATAAAATCAGAGTAAAATTATAATGCCTCAGGGACAGCTAACGTCAGTATTTGTAAAATGAGAGGAATGGACTAGATAATGTTGGTTCTTCTTTATAGTTCAGTTTTATGATTTTTGTAGATTTTAGAAGGTTAATGGAAATGTTAAAATGAGAAGAAAACGGAAGTATTTTACTTGAAGAGGGAAGTTATAACAACAGTTGTCATTATCTACTGTTTCAAGTAGGCTGTAATTGGTAAATTAATCTCATTAATGAACATTACTATTCTTTAGTTAAAATTACAAGTATTTGAACAAAACAGGACAAGTAAAATGCATGGCTCTCTTTAGCTTTCCTCTGGATTTCCACATTGCAATAAGGCTCAGACTCACAGATCTTGTCCTAATACTTCTAGAGTTTCCATTATTTTGTTAGTCCTGGCAAAAAAAAAAGGAGACTGAGACAGATATAATTCCATAACTGATTAGAAAAAGGAATGACATAAACCTCTCACTCACTCATTCAGGTGAGCTTCTGTTATCACATACTATAAGGTACCTTGTAAGGGGAAAGGAAGTAGAAATAGATGTCAAGTTTGAATTAATAGTTTGACAATGTTAGGAAAAACCATCGGTCAAGTTCCTCTATTCCCAGGACTGGCTGAGCAATTAAAAGTTAAAAGTTTCCTTGGAAATAGAAAAGAAATTTCACTCCAAAGTAAAATGCAAGTTTGTTTAAATTTTTTGGCACTGTAGAGTTTCCAGCATCATCTCCTCTGAATGCTTTCAATATCCTTCAACTTTTTACCCTTAGTGTCTGTGGAACTCATCGATGGCTCCTGAAAGCAGCTTATGTGAGTGTCTTAGGCAAATTGTCATACTAAGCAGTTTAGGATGTCTTCAGCTGCTGGTTGTTTTATGATGTAACATAAAATCTTCTAGATAAATCTGCTAATGGCTTTTGAGGCAAGGTTCCTAATGTCTCCTAATCAAGCACTGTTCAAAAGCCATTATTTCCACACAAAATGGGCTGCCTCATCTTGTGTTTTGATAAGTAAAATGCTTTCCTATGCCAATGTCTAGGCAATCTGAATAGAATAAAACTGAGTTGCACAAGAAACTAAAGCTGATTCAACCACAGAAAGTCATTATGTTAATACATTCTCTTCCTATTATATCTTAAGTATTGTCTATTCATGAGCTCAATTTTATTACCAAAAAAATGAATTCACAAACATCTTAACACAATAAAAATACTTGGTATTGTGTGTCAAAGCAATCTCTACATATTTTTTTAAATAATTTATTGTTTGCTCCTTTTTCTAACGTGTCCAAAATTATATTACTTTGGGAAACACTAATTCATTGTAGAAAACCTTTACAACTTTATTTTCTTTTCAGCACTGATATTTGTTGAGGATTTTTCAGTTTAAAATGAAAGTTTTTGCAAATATTTATTATGTTACTCATTATAGTTCGATTGAGAAAGCTGCTTGATTTTTACCATTAGAACTTTAAATTACTATCCTATTTTATCAAGTTTTATTCCCCAATAAAGAACAAAGCTTGTCCTCCCAACTTCATAATACCTTGTTCATGTTATTTCTAGATTTGCCTCAATTCTCACTTGATCTGAAAATTAAAGAGCTTTAGCAAAGGAATGAACCAACCATGTGTTTTTAATATCACATGTGCACTTAAAACTGAAAAACTGCCCTCCCATCATTTCTTCCCATCTTCCTTGTCAGGAACTTGAGACTAATAATGACAGGACACTTACTAGAATTTCTGCTAGAGCCCATCTGTGTGTTACTTGTGCTTTAGAGAGCATTATGCGTGGTGCTTTAGTGGTAAGGTGATGTGTACATTTTTAACTAGAAATTTAAAAGAAACAAATCATTGCTTTAGAAAGTACTTTACATTCACTTTACAAACTATTTCACAATTGAAATTATCTTGGCTTTTATTTTAAAATGGAAGCAGAGGATATAATACAGTGATGAGAGTGGCTAACATAGTCCTTTCATAGGATTCAGATACCATTTTCACCAAAGCCTATATATTCAAACCTGTGGGTTGTCATAGTGCAGCTTCACAAGTTGTATGCCTGACTTTTACCCTTTTTTTTCACAGCAGGGAGGTGAAACGCTGTGACCCTAGGAAAGAAAGAAGAAAAGAATCTTTAAAATCCCTCAGCCATCTCTTATTGGCAAATGAGACAGTTATTACCATAAATCCCTTAGGTTTTTCATGCTTATCCAGGAATGAAGTGTTATGAATAACCACTTTTTCAGGCAATATTTGAGAATTAACAAATTATTGCTAATGTTCAAAAACAAGAATTCAGTAATTTAATAAAGAAATGTTGCATATATTTTGGTTTCCAAGATAATGAGGATCATCAGTATGCAATTTCATGATCATTTAGCCATTTGAAGGACAGGAACAAAGATTAAAAGTGATTCCTGTTGATAAAATGTTAGTAGGATTGACATTTGAATGACAGGAACCAGAGTGTGTGTGTGCCTGTACACCAGTAACTAATGTTCTGTGCCAGGCACCATTCTGAGTGTTTTGTGTTAATTAACTAATCTAAATCTCAGTTCCATGGCATGGATAGTATTTGTTTCCCCATTTCACCAATGGGAAAACTGAAGCAAAGTGAGGCTGAGCAGCTCTTCAAACTTACATAGCTAGTAAGTTATTACAAAATTAAGATTCAATCCAGGAAGCTTAGCTTTAGAGCCCTGCTTTTTACCCCGTAAGTGTGAAGTGTGTGTGTGTGTGTTTTCTGTCCACTTCTGGACTTGGGTTTACTCTGTATATTTTATAAGTGAAGATCTACAATGCTGTAAGTTGGCATAATTTGAGCAATGATAACATGATACTCATGCTATAGAAACTTTTTAGAAATGGCTAATGAGTAGTCAGCTTTTCAGTGTTTTAGAAAAAATCAAAATAAGCCCTGATAAAATATAAAAGACATTTTGAAAGAAAGAGGAAAAGAGAGTTAGACAGGCCAGAGTAATTACTATTTAAAAGTCTAAAGGAAAAAGTTATTTATTTGGGATGGGACATGAAGTAAATCCTGGAAATATTTATGGGAATTCACAACTAGAAAAATGGAATCTCCAGCATCATTCCTTAGAAGGTGTTGTCCCCCTTCCTAATTCTGAATTAATACATTGAGCACAGTTTCAAGGCAAAAAATTAACTGGGCTAAACAGAAGCTTTTCCTCATAATTGCTTGTGTCTGAAAAGGTTTGTTGAGGATCTCATGGGAAATGTCGCTTATGATATGCAGTCAGTCAGTAGCTCTTGCAGCTCTTAAGAAGTGCTACTGAAGTGAACAGCCTCAGTTCTTTTCACTGAAATCCTTTTCATAAAATTTAGTACATTGGTAGTAGTGTATCATGACACTGATGTATGACATATGCAAGCAATAAGCATTGGGTTGTTCATTTTTAGCCTTAATCCTTTCCTGGAGACTAACAAGAGTTCTTTACAGTATGTGCTCCCAGCTGGGACAGCATTTTGGTTTTTAGATGCCCATCAAGAACTGTTCTGTATGCCTGTACACAGCATATAGAACATGTGTGTACAGCAGATAATGCAGAAAGATAGCAGGCATGGGGGCGCCTTAAGACCAAACCTGATGGCCAGCTACTCAGTGGTGCTAAGTAGTGTCCAGGGATCTGGAATAACTCACCAGAGAGCCTAATGCCACCTGCCATTGGGCTGCTTGGGTTCTGTACCATGTAGATTGTAGCTTCTAGGGGAGGGAAGATAATAAGGTGATTTATAAAATGGAAAGCACAAAACACTGGTGAGGAATTGTTACTACAAAAATTAAATGAGCAGGCAAAGTATTCTTGTGTTAGAAATAAGCATTTAGTTGAAAAGATTGCTTCCCTTGCAGATAACATAGTAGAAAAGTTAAATAAACCCAAGGGATAGCTGATCTCACCAGTGTCTTTGAGAAGGAGAGTGCCAGCCCTCATTTAATTTCATTTTTTCCCACCCTTAACTATGATGATTCTTAAGGGAAATGATGATCAGCTCACACTTAAAAAACAAAACAAAACACAGGATTCTAGAGACCTTAGTTCTAAAAGACATGACCCAATCTTCTATAACCAACTCAAAGAGTTAATGAAGCTAAGATCAGCATATATTCTTCTTTTCAAGTATCAGATAACATTTTAAGTAAGAGGATATGCAGCATAGTCCCTGGAGTAATATTAACTTGTGCTCTAAATGCAAGTCATTAAAATGTTTCAAGATGCTGTTCCTCTGATCTGCCAAATATGTAGCTTTTGAGCTATTATATTAGCATGTGGTTCTTAGTTTCTGCTGATAACCAGACTTATTTGAAAGGAATCACTCTAACCGGCCATCTTTTCTTTTTAATTTGATCTCCTTTATTAAGTAGCTCTTCATCAGAGCCAGCATTTCAGTGTCGAATTTGAGCCTGACCAAGTGTCCTTTACCTTGATGAGCACCTATGCCTCCCTGCTGAAGCTTTTAGGACAAGCAGAATCAGGGCGGGAACGTGCACTGAGTTTTTTTAGAGCCCTTTACAGTGGCCACCAGCCAGGAGTGTGGCCTGCTTTCCTTCTGTTTATGTGATGTTGTCATTGTACTTCAGGATATCTTAAATTGTTAAGACACAGACTGGAAACAACTGTAGCCTTTCAATGCCACCCATTGTACAGTTTGCTTGGGTGAAGCACAGATTGCATAATGAGAATGTTTGTAGATACATCAGAAGAAATGGCAGGAGGGAAAGAAAGAAGACATATCTAAGCAATTTGGCTTTTACAAACAATGCCAAGGAGGCTGGGGACCTGTCTGTCATTTTCATTCCAGCAACTTAAGCAGCTAACATAATACCAGGCCCATAGTTGTTACTTAATATATACCTGTTGAGTGAATGAATAGATGGAGGGATGGAGAGTGCCCTACTTAAAAACAATAACTTAAAACTGGGTGGAATGGAGAAGGGGGGAATTCATATCTGTTAGGATGTGCAAGTCAGTTAATCATATCTCTTTCCCTTCCACCTCTGCTCCAGTTGAGAAATGAACTTAGAGATTAGTTATGGTTCATAATATCTGCTTTATGCTTGGTAAAGCTGGATAAAGATCCTGTTGTTTTGACCTGGATCAAAGCAGATTTTCCTCCTTGTCTGCTGATTTGAACCTGAGACCTCCCAGTCTCAAGCAGAGCATCTGGACAGCCCAAGGTGTGGATTACCACATGAGAAGCAGGAGAGAAGAGAGCCTGAGGATAAAGACTCTTGGAGAGCTCAGGAGAGAGGCCAGGCGGCACATGTGGAGGGAAACTTCTCCCCCATCCACAGTTAGAGGAGCCCGTGAGGGAGGGGTACGGTGGGAACCTGGAGGGCAGGGGGAGTACAGTTTCCTCATTGCTTCTCCTTTAGCGTGAGACAGTGACTCAACAACTCATTCAGGCTCACTTTGGGCATTTGGGGCTGGACCTTTATTGAGTAGTTACTATGTGCCAGAGACTGTTACACAATGGTTGACATGATTCACAGTAATTGAGGAGTAGCTAATTGTTATTTCCATTTCACAGATAAAGATGCTCAGGCACAGAGATGTTTAGGAAATGAGTTAGGATCACATAGCTAGGAAGTGACAGAACTTCAGTCCCAGTCGTGGTTCCTGAGCCCATGCTCTCAATTCTGCCATGCAGAACGATGCATCCCGCTAGGACAGTCTGAGTAAAATACAAGCAGCACTTCCCAATTGGGCAGTTTCGGTGCAGGGCACTGAGGGAAGAAAGAGGAAAGCACCGTGTCTTTTTTTTTTTTAATCTCTTGTCCTGTTGGACAGTCAGCTCCGGAAATACATGAAGGAGATAACACATCTTCAGAGTGCTCGTTCGCCGTCTTTTCCACTCTTTTGTTTGGGTCAATATTATTAAGTATCCCTCCTCAGATGACCTGTATTAAAAGTACTAGAGTGTTTGGAAAGCCAGCAGCTCATGGTGCTCTGCTTTAATCAGACTGAGCACATGGACTAGTTTAGTTAATGTAATGCTGACATATTGGCTTGGTGCAGAATGCCATGCATGGTAGCTACAGTGACCAGGAATGGGAATCCTGCCCTAAAGAGAACTATAATTTTGTTAAAGAAATGTAAATGCACATGCTTAAAACACACACAAAAATGAGAAACAGTTACAAAACAATGCATTAGAAAGTACCAACCTGATACAGACAGACAGGTGATAATACTGTATGGGGTTAATCAGAGAAAACTTGCACTGCTTCTATTTTCATAAACCTGAAAGGAAAAAACATGTTGATTGATGAGATTTAAAGTTTCGACTAGGGAACAGTTTATCTGAAACTTAGAGCAACCCATCACCCCTGCTTTGGGGGGTTCCTGTCTTTATATCACTCAGAACTCCTGAGATCCATTCTTGGGTGTTAGCTGGGCACCTCTGGTGACCCAAGCAGTATCTATCATCTGAACATAATATTTCCCACCAGAGTGCATGAGAGTCTTTAATAGCCCCTCACCTGCAAGCAAATACCTTCTAGAGCTAAAATACCATAGCAAAGATTTTTACATCAATGTAATTGGTTGTAAAAGAGATGAATAAAGTTAAGGAGTAATCTCTAAAATGCAGAATTACAGAGAATGGTTTTCAGAGGTTTGTACATCTGTGGATATTTTTATCATCTCCGTATACATTTGAGACACACCAAGGTCTTGATTGGTCAAGTTGAATAGGACTAATGATCCCTCAGAAATTCAAAGGCTTAGTATTAACTACTTCTCAACAGCTGGCTATATTTACAGTACTACTGGGGATAAGCAGCTGAGTAAGGAAATGGCAGATTTAGAAGTGTCCCTAAGCGTTTACCCTCCCTTAGCAGAGTACTAACTACAGAATGAAACAGAATAGAAAAATCTAGTTCAGAGTTTCTTTCCTGAAAACTAGGATGAATTTCTGTTACGGCAAAGTTTTGTTTGGCCCTCACATTTTTTCTTTCAAGTAAATTAATTCAGCACTTCAAAACCAAGAGATTCCTAGGATAACCTGAGGCAGGGCCAGACTTCCTGAACTGCTTATACAGATCAGCATATAAGCAGTGTCCCGAACAGTGTGTCCTCAGGAGGGGCGGTGGTGATGGGGATGGCGCTTTGCTGGGCAGTGTGGTAGCCACTAGCCACCCGTGGCTGGCATGCATTCAAAAAGTGGCTAGTGCAACTGAGAAACTTAACTTTAAATTTTGTTTGTTTTTAATTAGATGCTTACTGTTAGAGGCTACCATACTGGACACCATCGTCCTGAGCCATCTACCGTCTGCTGGCGTCATGAAGTCAGAGCAGTGAGGGTCTGGGTCTCATCTGGTCTCGGCACAACAGTGGTTTTTCTGCTGTTGGTGGTGGTTTTCTGGGTTTTCTTTTGTTTTTTATCAAAAGCATCTTCCACTTGCATCAGATTAATGAATCTCCTAGTACAGCTGCTCCTGAAGTGCAGCAGGGAATCATTTCCTTCATGTGTCCCATTCCCCACACATGGGAGGGACATGTGCAGCCTGCCTTCTCAGAACTCCAGACTCATACCCAGCTGCCTCCTTGACCTCCCCACTCAGATGTCTAATGAACACCTAAAACCCAAACTGTCCAAGGCTCCCTCCCTGCCACACCTCACGTTAGGCACTTGCAGTGCTTGCTCTTCTCCTCCTGGCCTCCTGGGAGGGTTAACCCGTCCCAGCCCAGGGGCTACAGGTGGAAGCAGTATGTGTCATGTGGTTCTGTATTGAGCCTCATGACCACTTTTGATGATGATTATCCTAGAAGCCAGTAGAAATGTTTCTCATTATATTAAATATCCTGTAGAGACTGGAATCATATTTGGGGATGAGTTTATGAAGGGATACAACTCAGATCTTCCCTCCCAAACCTGGTGCCCTCCTAGAGGTGTCCGTATGGGTGGGTAGCACCCTGGCCCATCTAGCTGTTGAAGTTGGACATCTGGGAGTCATGTTGATATCTCCCTCTCAGTCATTCCCCACCAGGTTCTGTTGATTTTAGCAGTTTAGTATCACTTTATCCACTGCAGTCACCCTGTCTCTTGCTGCTCTTCCGGAAGCTAACTGTTAAGCATCCTACCTCTTCTGCATCCACTGTTCCACAAACTCTTTTCCAAACCTTACAGTGCAGTTATGGTGAGCTTTGAAAAATACAAATCTAGTTATGCCCTTTCCATGCTTAAAATGGTGTTTATCAAATAAAACTCAAAGTCCTGAACTGGCTTATTGGGCTATTTGTGCTCCACCATCTGCCTACCTCTCCAGCTGTGTTTTTTAGGATTAGGATTACCAGCATGCCAGGATACACCTAAATTAATAGTGTCTTTAACATGACAGAATTTCTCCCTTGAATAAGTAGGCAATCCCGGGACTGGTGAGGCAGCTTCATAGTCCAAGATCTAAGCTTCTTGGATCTTGATGCTTTACCATCCTCATCACAGAGCTGCCTCCTCGTGGTTTAATATGGCTGCTCTAGCTATACCATCACATCTGCGTTCCAGCCAGGAGGAAAGAAATAACAGTTGCTTCCCTTGAGGAACAATTTGTGAAGCTACTCCTATTACTTCCACTACATCTTATTGGTCAGAACTAAGTCACATGGTCATTCCCAGCTGCAAAGGAGGCTGTTCTGGGCAACCACTGCCCAACTGAAACCCAGGGCATTGTTACAAAAAAAAGGAGATACATTTTGGGAGCTACATAACAGTCTCTCTCACCAGAGTTAAATCCTTACCTTCCAGAGTAGAATATGAGTAAAAAATGTCTGATATAGAAAAATCAATAGCATGTAAGCATATTATTAGAAATATGGAGGTAGATTCTAAGGAAATGGCTAAAATGACTAAACGTGGTTGCCTTGGGGAAGCAGGAATAGAGTGGGGTAAGGGATTATATACTCATATTAAGCTTTGCAGTATTATTTGACTTTTTCTATGAAGAACAAATTTATTTTGATAAAAATTACATTTGAAAGAGTTTTTTTTAAACATAGACTGAAGCCAAGACTGTGAGTACATAAGAGCTGGATGAGTTTTCCCTACAGAGCCCTTGAGGTTGTGTCTTTATTTACCACCTTGCCAGTTATTTTCAGCCTTCAGTATATAAGCAAAGGTGATGTTATATGCATGAATATTGTCAAAGATTGGAAGATCCTAAGGATCAGACTCAAGACATTTACCTGTAGGCAGTTCCTCCATGTTTGCTATTACTAAATTAGGGCATCTGGAGTTTAAAATATTAATGAGACATTAAATGTTTTCGACTTATGCATTTTGTCTTATTTTCCTGACCTACACTGATTGATAAAAAGCTTGTCCAGAAAATGTTTCTGATTAACAGCAGCTGTCCTCTCTTGAAATGGTTCTCATCTGTGGGTGTTTAGTGACAGGTAAGGTAGACATCATAAACTGCAGCTTGCAGAAGATTGCTTACTCAGAATAAGCAGATGCTGAGACCTGGCATGAAAAGAAGAGAAATAGAACCTGAAGTGATAGAAAAGCCCAGAAGCTGGAGAGGTCATTCTCTGCTGATCAAGTAGAAAAAAGCAAATTTTTTTCATCTAAATGAAATACTGTGAGACTTGAGAAAAGATTACCTGTTTTTCATGAGAAATCAAACCCTACAGTTGCCAACCTTAATGGGTTTTGTTTGTTAAATATTTAGGCCAAAAGGAATTGTTGATAATGAGAGACAGAGGTCTGAAAAGGAAAGCAATCATTGGTCTTGTATTTAATCACTTTTTATTTTCTCAGGCCTCAGTCATGTCGTTATTTAGCTCTGGTGCTTACATAACTTAATTAGGGGCGTTCAGGGAGGAATGGGAATAGGAGGGCAAAATGAAAGCGTAACAGTTTAAACAGATTGTCTGCAGATGCCTGGTATGGCTGGAGATGAAGCCTACTTAAGGACCTAATTGTAGAAGAAGCTCTTGACATTGATCATTTGTGAAAGGGGGATTTTTATTTTCTTACCCACATACGTGGTTTTGTACACTTAACGTCTACAAACCTTAAGCATTGGTACATCTGATCATCAGTCTGTGGAATTACTAACACCAAGCCACTTTGAAAGAGCAGACAAGGTTATTAACTTTGGCAGGAAATGAAAATTTGGCTGTAATATACATGTGAAATTGAATTGTCTGTAGCACAAAGCTTTGGCGATTACCCATGCAAAATGAGAAAACTATCTAAATTTAAAATTATCCTCAGTACAGTGAAAAGTAATTTTGCAGACTGCATTTTTACTGCATTGAAATCCGTGAAGATATTGGCTCTATTAATTTAGATTTAAACAGAGCCTCTGTATCTTCTAAAAATGGCAAATGAGATGGAAAATGTACTTGAAGGGGAGAGATGAGTTTCTGGAAAAGCCGCAGGCAGGCAGGCTCCCTGCTCCACATCTCTGAGTCTCCCTGAGACCAGCCAGCTTCAGAGGGAAGGCTCTATCTGCTGTGACAGGCATTCAGAATAAGGACATTTAGACAATGCTTCAGCTGCAGCCTTCAAGAGTAAGATAAAAACTGAGTAAGGGCCAAAGGGAAAGTCAGCAGCAGCCTTTACAGTGTAGTTCCTAAAGCAACTGGGTCCTCGATTCAGGCAAAAAAAATGAAGGAGTCAAATTTATTTTCTCAGATGTTAGATGAATGAATCCCTGCCTAGAACAATACTGGTAGGGGATTTGGTTATTCTTCCTCCCTTCTCACAGGAAAAATGACCTCCTCTATAAAGAGAGATTCAGTTTTCATTCTAGGCTTTGAATTTCCTTACCTCACAAGAACAAACATTTCTTGTATTATTAATTAAATCATTCTTTGTTAAATAAGTGACTATTTATTTGGAACCATACTTTTGATGACCTGTCATTTAACCATCAGGAAGAACACATTAACCCAGTAGCCAGAGTACATCATGGATTAATAGTGAACTTGTGTTTACAGTTCTCAGAGTACCTATTATGCAGACTCGTCATGAGGAGGAAGCTAACAAGTGTTTGCCTTCGTCTGGTTCTTAGAGCTACTTAGTAATAAAAACGAGTCTTGAGCTAAGGTCATCTGAACTTGTTAACAGCTTATCAAAAATCAGCACTGCTAAGTAGGCAACACACCGGGATAATACAGACAACTGCCCTTTCCTTATTTTTACATTATTTTCTTTTTGCTTTTAGGCATTGCTGTGCTTTACTTACACCTCTACGATGTATTTGGGGACCCCGCCTACCTACAGATGGCTCATGGCTATGTAAAGCAAAGCCTGAACTCTCTGAGCAAGCGCTCCATCACCTTCCTTTGCGGGGATGCAGGCCCCCTCGCAGTGGCCGCTGTGGTCTATCACAAGATGAACAATGAGAAGCAGGCAGAAGATTGCATCACCCGGTAATCATGTTTCTTTCTGAGGATGACTGTCTAGACGTGTTAATTCTGTATGTGCCAGCAGAAGAACACATTTTAGTGGGTTTGCTTTTCTCAGCAATAAATCTTACTGCTGCATGTTACTTGATCAATGCATATATTATTCCTATGTTACAGTTAAGGAAGAACCATTATAATCCCTATCTTACTGTAAGATAAATGACACTGACATGTTCCAGATGAAACATCAGTGTTCAGTACCAGGAACGAGACCACAAGCCTAATCATGTGATTACTAATCCAAGGTGCTATCCAAGATCAATAATTCAAAATAATGCAGTTCACTTCCTGCAGTAGGCTGGGAGAGGCCTCCTGAGGAACCACAAATTGACTCAAAACTACTTTTCTTAGGAGCAAATGACATGTAAATCCAGGTTTTTATTTTTAATATAAATCACAGCAGCCTATTAGAAGCTTGTGAACTATGAAAAATGCAAAGCTTTTGTCCTAATAAACTGCAGTTATTGTTTTACTAGAGTTCATTGAACATGCAGAATTCTAAGAAGTCTGGCTGCCATGCAGCTCTGCATGCAGTACTCTTAGGCTCCCACTGTGCATGCTCACATGCAGAGAGTTGCAATTCTAGCAAAGGTTTTTTTGTTTTGTTGTTTAATAGACTTTTTAGCCTATGTAATAGTAGTTTTCAGTTCACAGCAAAATTGTGAGGAAGGTACAAAGATTTCCCATATGGGAGATCTGTCCTTACATACACATAGCCTCCCCCATTATCATCCTCTCGTGTCGCACCAGAGCAGCACAGTGGTACAGCTGGTGAGCCTGCACTGACACATTACCACCCGAGTCCATAGTTCACATTAGGGTCACTCTAGGTGCTGCATAGTCTGGGCTTGGACAAAGGTATCCATCATTATAGTGTCATACAGAGTAGCTTTGCTGCCCTAAGAGTCCTCTGTGCTCTGCCTATTCATCCCTCTTCCCTCCTCCCTAACCCTTGGCAGCTGTTGATCTTTTTATTGTCTCCATAGTTTCACCTTTTCCAGAATGTCATCTGGGTGGAATTAGGTAGTATGTAGCCTTTTTCAGATTGGCTTCTTTCACTTAGTAAAATGCATTTAAGTTTTCTCCTGTCTTTTCATGGCTTGATAGCTCATTTCTTTTTGCTGAGTAGCATTCTGTTGTGTAGATGTGCCAGTTTGTTTACCCACTCACTTCCTGAAGGATTATCTTGGTTGCTTTCAAGGTTGTGTGGACATAAGTGTCCACCTCCCTTGGGTAAATGCCAGGTTGCATGATTGCTGGGTAATATGGTAAGAGTATGTTTAGTTTTGTAAGAAACTTCCAGACTGTCTTCCAAAGTGGCTGTGCTATGCCATTTTGCATGCCTGCCAGCAATGAATGAGAAGTCCTTGTCAGCATTTGGTGATGTCAGTGTCCTGGATGTTTGCCATTCTAATAGATGTGTAGTGGGATCTTGTTGTTTTAATTTGCATTTCCCTAATAACATATGATGTGGAGCATCTTTTTATAACACTTTTTTAATTGGGTCCAGTGATAATATAACCAGTGATCATCCCCAAGTTGACTATAGTTTTTGATACCTACTCCTCTTTCTTAAGATTTAATGTTAGGATAGCATTATCTTCACTAATTTTGTTTGTTGGAGATTCTTATACTGTGTGGTGGTGTATATATCATCAATAGGCTTTTGGCCTAAATTTCTATTAACTAGAGCCTTTTTTCCCCTCAGAATTTCATTATGAAAAATTTCAAACAAATAGAAGTATTGAAAGAATGGTGAATACCTGTATATGTGGGTAGCCACATACATTCTACCATTAACATCATATCACATCTCTATCCATCTATCCATTCTTCTACCTGTTATCAATCTTTTGGGGGTAGATGCATCGCAGAGTAAATTATAGACATCATTACACCTCCTTCAAAATACTTACACATATGTATCATATGTATCATTTACTAGCTAGCATTTAATATCTGTTTAATTTTCTTCTTTTCATGTAAACTTTACACACAGTGAGATGCCCAGGTTTTAAAGTGAATACTTGTTGAGTTTTGACAAATGCATAACCAGTGTAATCTAAACCCCTATCAAGATCTAGAATATTTCACCAAATACTTTTTCCCTCTCTTCCCTTCTGGAATTCCAATTATACATAATTTGGCCTTTTGACATTGTTAGACCAGTCTCTTTTTTCTTTTCAACCTCTTTTTTTTCTTCCTGTTCTTAAGATTGAATAATATTGATCTATTTTTAAATTCACCATTTCTTTCCTCTATTACATCCATTCTGCTGTTAAGCTCCTCCAGTAAAATTTATTTTAGACATTGCATTTTTCAGTTCTAGAATTTACACTCAGTTCTTTTTTCCTCAAATGTTTTTTGTGGTAAAATACACATAACAAAATTTACCCCATTAACCATTTTTAAGTGTACAATGCAGTGATATTAAATACATTCATAATTTTCCATAACCATCACCACCATCCATCTCCATAGCTCTTTTTATCTTGTAAAACTGAAACTTTGTACCCATTAAACAATAACTCCCCATTCCTCCAGCCCCTGGCAACTGTCAGTCAACTTTTATCTCTATGATTTGGACTACTCTAAGTATGTCATATAAATGGAGTCATACAATATATGTCTTTTTGTGAATGGATTATTTTACTAGTATGAGGTCCTCAAGGTTCATCCATATTATAGAATAATCAGACTTTTTAAGATATGGTTGTGTTGTTTTTTAAGAGCCAGTACTAAGAGTGATGTGTTATTTATCCGTACTCCTGTTGTTTAAACACATAATACGTGAATTCCTCCTCATCCCCCAAATTTTTCTCATACAGTGATGTTTTCTTATGGTAACTTTTTCCCTAGCAAATATAACAAGAAGAGGGTAGGGGGCAGGCCACAGAGTCTTCTGTTCTATCTATAATGATCTGTGAGTCATTATATTAAATCATTCCCTGAATTGACATACACTTCAGAATACCTTTTTAAATACATGCCTGTGCTACATCTGTCGGAGTATAAAAATTACACGGTGCAGCTTAAAAACAAAAAACATTACTATATATTTGAGAAAAACTATGTACTCCAGGTTTGGAAAGTGTTTAATATAAAACCTGTCAGTAACTTTGATCAAAATGGCCAAGGAAATAAAACTATGATTTCCCCAAAAGTTTAATTACCATGCATTCTTTCCATAATCATTGACTTGTATGAGACCAGCCAATACAAAACCTGTTTCATACCCATCTAAAGTTGAAACACAGAAACTACCTATTTTTTTTTTTTTTTTGCATGGCCACACATTAGCCACACATTTGCTTTAGAGGTTCACAAGGAAGTCTCATTCAGTGAGTCATTCTTAAGTACCATAAAAATAAATTGGTAGTGGTCCCAATATTTTATATATAATGCCAGCCTTTCTCAAAAATATGTACAAATAGTAATAGTTCGTTATGTAAATAATGTTAATAGGTGTTAAATGAAAACAGATTTGTGTATTCAAACAGATGAGGGAAATACTAACTAAGCAAAGTTAAACGTGTGCCTCTGCTGGCTGCTCAGAGTCTGTAGTAGCTTTTATACATGGGAAACTCCAGTGTCTCTGGGAGCAGTTTTCCAAACTTGCCACATAGATCATTCATTTTCTTCATGACGTCTTAGGCCCTGTTGTTCTAAGAAATAGTCTTTGAGGAATAGTACCATCTATTAATATTGGTTTATTATAAAACACTCTTAAGAGTAAACTAAAATTTCATTTTTTTGATACCTTGATAATAAAGGGTTTTTTTGCATTTATATCTGTTTTTTAAATTTTATGACATTTCAACCGTATTTTATTTATAGCCAATGGACTTATTAATGTTAAATATTTAGAATGCAGGTGTATAATAGGAAAGTAGGCTATTGTGGATATAGCTTTGATTTTTCAGATTTGTGGAGTTCATGGCAGAACAGAAAGAAGAAAGGGGATTATTTGTAATTTACTTTAACATCTCCGTTTTAAGGGAAAAATCTATGTATTTTCAATTCAGTTGAAGTGATTTGATGTTATCAATTATTTAATGAACCTACTTGTTTGTTTTACTTTTTACCAAACCTTTCTCCTATCATACAGTCCTTTTGAGATATCACAGACACTCAGATTTTCTGTGTGGTGTTGTGTTGTGCTCCACTACCAACATTATATTTCAGCTTACATTTCCTATAGTTTCTTTGAATAATGGTCTTTCAGAATCATGATTTTTAGTTTTGGGCACCAAAAGGACCTTTGGGATCATCAAAAATCTAATCCTTAGAAATCAATGTTTCCTTAAGGTAGGGGTTCTTAACTTTGGGGCCTGGAGAAACTTAGGGCTTCCAGAAGTGTATATAAAAACCCCAAATTATATTCAGCATGGAAGAACATTTACACTTTCCTTGGAGAGGTTCTGACTCCCAAAAGGTGTGTGTGTATATGTGATGTGTGGTGTGTGTGTACACATTCAAATTGTCCTGCAGTCAGTGGGGAAGAGAATGAATAGTGCTGGTTCTTCTCGCTGCTTGATTTATACCCTCTTTGTCCCCACCCTTCCTTCTACACAAAGATAGTCGGTGCCATTACAAATAGAGAGTGTTGCTTGTTTTATACCCAATTAAGTGACTAACCTGATATATATCATGCTTTGGGGCCAGTACTTAGAATGATGAACCTTCACTTTCTGGTCAAAAAATGTACACCCTCTTTCTTCATCATGTCATGAGTAAAAGGACTTTTCTTTTTAAGTTACAAACATCTGTTAGATGATACAAAGCAAAAACTCCCCAGTAACACCCTGAGGAAATAATGCTAGGAGTATAACAGAACTGTCCTGTTTTTATATGTCTTTATTCTTCCTTCAGTGATATTTCCCTTCAGTGACTTGTCCCTTCTATAGATTGATTGCTATTAATATCAACACAGCAAAACAAATACATGGAGCTGCAATAATATG